TAGTGTGAGAAGAATCTATGGAGGGGAAAAAAAAAAAACCACCAAAAAACACAGTAACGGGAAAAAAATAGATAAGGGCAAAATCTTCTCTTAATACCTCTAATACGCTTTTTAGTAAGTATAAATATCCAAACAGTAAAAATATTTCTCTTCAATACAGTCCTTCAGTGAGGCCAATACTGAGGCTCTGACTTTATAGTCCCATCCAGAATAATAACAGGCAATTCAGACTTTCCTGAAACATTAAGGTACAGAGGGTGAGCTGCGAGCAAAGACACTCATGCTAAGCTGCACTTGCTCATCTCTTATAACAGCAAAAGGCATGCTAGGAACAGAAACACAATGAACTAATATTTCAACATTAATTGCACCAGGGCTACTTTAAACACAGGCATATTATATTCTTGCCACCAGCACAGAAAATCCATAAAGAGTAATATTTTTATTCCAGTAAATTAATTTTGCTCAACTGATTTGCTGCTAGTATTGAACATATCCATAAACATAGGTTCCAAGTTCACATTACCTGTGCACCTTCTCCATGGTACAAGCAGTTCACCACATTGTCCAGAAGATTGATATCCAGCTTCTGATTAAAATCCAGCAGCTGACGAGCTGCATGGTCCGCTAACATTGTCATAATTGCTGGCATAGATTACTGGGAAAAAAAAAAAAAAAAGATTTTTTTAATCAATAAAATTATTGTCAGATGTAATCACATAAAATGCTGCCACCAAAGCATCATTTAAGTGAGACAAACCTAGCAGTACTGAATGGCACAACATTCCTACCATTGCTAAGCAAGCACCAGCACAAACCTGTACTTAAAATTCATATAATACTACCTTAACCTAATTCTCAGGGTGCTCAGCAGGTACAACGCATAATGGCAGTTTAACTAACCAGTGAGCTATATAACCAAGCAAGCTAAGCAACTTTTTATTAAGTAAGCAGCAGCCCCTACTACAAGTATTCAGCCTCTGAATATGTGTAAATGAGTAAGTCTGATAGTATGTACTTCTAGCATCATTACAATCAAAACGCACCCTAGTGATCTCAGGAGAATTTTAAGCTCTCAAGAAAAATGTGCACATTTGCAAATCCAGTTCTGAAAGCTTTTCAACGAACAGTTACAGAAGTGGAGCATCACCTACATACTTGGTAAAAGTTAAAGAGATCATTTTTCATATACTTGGGAAAACAGCTCACAAATTACCTAAATAGAAGCAAGAAATTATGACTGAAATTAAGAAAGCTGTCTGCTTGAAGGCATTTAACATAAAGTGACAGCAAATTAAGCATACCACTTTAGAGCACCTAGTGGAATTCTACTGAAAATCCTGCTGCAGTTTTCAGGCCCTTAACACCCCCAACACAAGTACCAACTTCTCATCCCAGGCCTAGCAGCCCTGCATTATGAAAAGACAGTCAGGGCTATACACAATTGTGCATGCACACCAGCTTACTAGCTGGTGACTGGTAGAAAATGAAGGCACTCACAAACAGTAAGCAAGCAAGCCAAAGCCACAAAGCTGTGCATCAAAGTTATACACCACTCTGGCCTTTTCACATCACCATGCAGCAGCTGACCAACTGCACTGCTCTCCTCCCACAGTCACCAACAAATATAGCACTTTTTTCTACCCTCTTCCCTATATCAGCTCTCTCTCATTCACTCTCATTTTCAGTCTTCCATAGAACTACAAATTTCCTACTGAACTTGAGAAATATCCTCAAGTCTGGAGAACTGCAAGGTTACTCAGGAAGTTACATTTGATCCTGCAGCACATACAAATAGATACCATCTGAAACTCTTCTAGAAACAACCCCCACATGCACAAAACTCAACAGAAATCAAGACTCAGAACAACCCATGCTTTAGAGTAAAGTGGAAGTCAGTTCTACTCTTACTAAACAGCTTTACGTGTGAATAAGAATGAATGTTATCCCTTACTTAAATCTCATGCTTAAAAATAAAGAGCAAGAAAAACCTGTGACTCAACTCAGGTAACTCCTAAGTGAAAGTCTCACAGTAACACGCACATTGGGAAAATCTTCTGCTTACTATATACATTTTCAGGTATTATCAAACGGTTTTGTTCTGATAGACATGCAATAAAGTAAAAAAAAAAAAAAAAAAAAAAAGTTTTTGCTGTATTTTGCATTAAAAGAAGTCATGTAAATAGTACTACTGCACTACCATAGTAATTTTTAAGGGCTAGCATCATCATCCTATCGACCTTTTTACACCAAAAAACCCCCAAGAACATAAGGAAATAAAAATCAAGCAGGAACCAAAATTAATTGAACACTACATCTTCACTCAGCTCCAAAAGTTTCCAGAACTGTTAAGTATAGAAGCAAGCAGAGCAGCAGCAAAAGCTGATTTCCTTTTTCTAACTCATAAGGGTACTTAAAAATTTCACTTGGCAGAGTGGCAACAAGCAGCACTGGGAAGAAATCTAGCCCATTCACAGGCAATGCAGCTCAGGACATTAATACTGCTGCTAGACACACATGCTTCCTCATCCTCCGCAACTGCCCTCATGGCTGTGGCATGAGCAGGTGAAGCAGCTTTTGAACTACAAGACCATTTTACATTGGTGGTTCCTTGGACAGAGTCACACATTGTAGGTCAGGGCCTTTTTCAGCAGTTTTTACACAATTCCAAATGCTGTGAAGTACTGTGACAGTTTTCAGGTAACAGGAGATAGATTTGCAGAAGGTTTCTGCCTACATAGCAGGACCACTCCACAAGGCCAATACTAAGATAAGAACCAGTTACAACTAGTCCTTGGTACAGCTACCAGCAAAGTATCCCACAAAGGAACTTTCCTTCCCAAATAAGGTTAAAAAAAGACTACAGAGTTCAACTAAAGGACATATTAAGATTACTACCAGGGTTCCAGAAAGACCCCCCAGGACTTCTATCATCACAAAGGTCTGGTGTATGAGCAAGGAGGTGGAATCATATGTTGATGATTTTGGAAAAAGTACTGCATACGGATGAGTTCTCTGGGAAAAATCGTTACATATGTAATGCAAGTCATGTGTATAAGCTGAAGATCTTCTGAACCAGGTATGGGTACAGATGGAACAATCACCTGTGCACCTGCAGCACAATATAGAATACTGCTTCTTAACATCACATTGCTCTTAAGAAGTTTCACTCAGACAGCAGTTAGGCTGGTAACACTCAGAACCGAAAGGAACAGCCACGTGACAAGCAGACACTATTAAGCACATGAAGACAAAAAAGAAATATTTTGAACAGGGTCCTTTGCCACTCCCAGCGTTATTTTCACACTGACCTGCCTACTAGCAAACTGACTCAGAAATGGCGGCTTTGTGGTCACTATCAAAGGCGATTGACTCCAATTCCCGCTACCAACACTGGGCACACACCACGCACATTACAGCTTCCATTCACTGCTCTCCTGCACACTAATACTACCATACCTGAATATGATCAGCTTTAAATCTCTATTCTCACATCAACACTAATCAGTTCTTTAACATTAACAATAAATGAGGTAACAGAAACTAGAGAAAAAAATCTAAGCTACAACATGGCAAGAACATGACATCTACCGAAGGTCAAATGAACTGCATTTGTCAAAAACTTTAAACAGCTATCCCCATTCTCAACAACACGGGGGTCTTCAGCTCTACACAGCTGTACTCAATTCATTTAAATATTTCTCGGGAAGAACAAAGCACAATCATTCTACATCAAGAAGAGATGCCGAGGATTTACAGCGAGCTCTAAAGCACGGCTTCTACGTGACTACGCGAGGCTCACAGGGGCGGCTGTAGGAAACTCAAGGCGGGCACTCCACCCTGCCGCCCGTTCCAGAGAGCGCAAACCACTCCACCGCACAGCGCGGCAGGAGCTCACGGCCTCATACACGCGTGAGAACACGGAGCAGCCGTGCAGCACGGCGCCCGCCGGCAGCCCAACACCTTCCCGGGACGCGGCGCCCAGGCAGGGCAGAGGCCCGGCCTTGCGGAGCGCCGCGGCCCCTCCCTCCCTGCCCGCGTTCTATACGGGGCCCCCACGTGACGCGGGCGGACGTTTCAATACTGCTGCACAGACACACCAAAATATTTCTGGAAACTTCCACTCCTAATAATTCGCAGACTAAGGGCCCCACCGCTCCCCGCGCCCGCTCCCCGCCTGCCGGGCCCCTCAGGAGGCCCCCCAGCCCCGGCCCCGCCGCCTTTCCCGCGCCGCCCGCTCACCTTAGTGCTTCTGCGGCCTTTTGCTTCAGAAACTAAGGGGTGGGCGAATCAGGTTCCTAACCTCAAGGCAAAAATACAACAACGCAGAAAAAAATGAAAAGCCGCCCTCCCCTAAAAAAAAATAAATTAAAACCGAGGTAAGAGGAAGCTCCGCGCACCCAGCCCCCGCCAGCCGCCCCTCGCCGGCACCGTTCTGTCCCCACTCGGCCCGGCGCGGCCGCGACAGGGCTCGTCTCGGCCCCGACACGGCGGCACCCTGCCGGCCGCAATGCGCTCCTCGGGCCCGGCGCGCGCTCGCGGGGCGCCTCGCCGCCTCGGGGGAGGAGAGAGACGTGGGCTCGATGCGGCGCCGCAGCCTCCTGGCACCCCTCGGGGAACCTCTACCTTCTTTACGGCCGCGGCTGCGTGACGACTCGGCTGCGTTCCGCTTCGCTGGCTCTGGGCCCGGGCCCTCGCGGCCGCTCCTCCTGTGCCTGCCGCCCTTCCTTCGGCCTGGCGGGCCCTCAGTTCGGCCCCGTGCCCATCCCCCCCCCCCCCCACTCAGCGCTAAACTTCGGCCCCTCAGCTGCGCCGGCGGCTTCTCCCGCGAGCTCCCCCGTCAGCAAGAACCGCGACAGCGGCAGCGAGAGCAGCGGCGACTGAGCACGGCGCCTCTCCCCCTCCTAATGCCACAAGCTCGGAACCGGCTCAAACCGGTTCAGACTGGGAGATTCCATCTCGGTTTAGTTTTCAGCCCATGGCGCCGCGGAGCGTTTGGAAACCTCAGGCCCCCGCCCAGCGAGCGCTCTCATTGGTCCCGAGCGATGGCGCCTCGCTAGCGCCCTGCGCGATCATTGGGCGTACGGCACGTCACTTCGTCGAGCGCCGCGGAGGGTAGCGGGGAGCAATAGGCGGAGGAGGGAGGATTGGAGAGAGGGGATCCGCCTCCTCCCCGGCAGCGAGCGAGGAGCGCGAAGGGGAAGGCTGTTGCCCGCTGAGTGGCGGAGTCGAGCTATCACTCAGAGGCTGGCCCGCCTTCGAGTTCTCAAATGGCGGGCGTAGGTCCTGCTCCGTTTCTATTGGCTAGCACGTTGGTGCGGAGCGCGCGGCTTTAAGGCTCGTCTGTCGTCGCGCGCTGTGCTTTGGGTGCGTTGTGCTGCCGATGGCTGTTAGCGAAAACGGTGCTGATAGAACGGGGCGCCGGTGGCGATGCCGTGCTGTGCTGTGTTTGGCGAAGTGACTCAAGCTCGCGGGTGAGGCTGTGTCTCCGGCCGGCGGGAAGGGAAGGCTGTGGAGCCCGGGCTGCGTGGTGGAGGACTGAGCGCTGCTTTGTTTCCAGTAGGCCCATGTCTTGCGCCTTGAGCTGGGCTCAGCGGTGTGCCCAGCGCGGCATCCGCGTCGTTCCCACCCCTGTGATGCCGACCTGAAACGGAGACTGGAGAGTTGTGGTTTTTGGGAAGTTTTATATTGTCCTTAGCGGTCCTTAATGGTTATCCAGAGCATAAATGAGATATGGGTGATAAATTCTGGGATGGGTATAAATTGCTGAACTGTGTTCTTACACTGAAGTACTGCGACGTTTAAAATGAAGTGGTACTTAGAACATAATAGTCTAGATTAATGAAAAGAAACCCTGCAATTCCTGTGTTACAAGTTACAAAGCTGAAATGGAAGTTGAGAGACATAGTGAGATACGTATGCCTTTATTTACATGAAACCGTAATCAGAATGGAAACTGTGCAAGTCTTTTACCCTGTGAGTCCCTGACACATTGATTGTATAAGCCTCTCAGTTACTGTTTATTTTCTTATCTGGAGGCTTCGAGAAGTTTGTGGGCTTAACCCACTAGGAGAAGTTCTCTAAGCTTTACTTAAATAAAAAAAAAAACTGTAGAACTGAGTTGAGTATGGAAAGCAATGCATGGCCGTAGACATGCTGGGGATAATAATAATAGATGAGGTGACTACCTGTGAGACCCCATTGGTGGTGTGGAATGGCTTCAGAGTAATTCACACCAACATAAAATGAAGCATTCAGTAGCATTAGAATGATTAGTTGTTCAAGTTCCCCAAATCTTTTTTTTGCTGCTTAATTATCCTTTAACTGTTCCTGTTGGCAAAAGCATTTCAATATGTGTTGAAGCTAATGGATAATTCTAGCTTAATAAAATGTGCTTTTTTTTTTTTTGTAGACATATGTTGAAGTTTTATCAGAGAACGTTTTTGACTTTATAGCAACAATTTATTCTTTTCTGCACTGTAGGTCTGTATAACCAAGATGTTATAGTCACAATATAATTGTGTATAATCAATAGATATCAAGATGTTATAATTGCAATATAATCAAGAGAGTAAGACAAAGCAGACAACGATCACAAAAAGAGAATAAGTGGAAGAGCTTACCCTTTGGCTGAGCTCACCAGAAGATACCAAAGAGGGGATCTTAAGAAGAGATCCTTCCCCTCTGGTAGCCAGCTCTTAAATAGGTCCTCTTAAATATTGCCTTCACCTGTGCTCCTCTGGCTGACTCAAGGCTCACCTCAGGTGATCAATCAGAGGTTCAGGCCGTGACTCAACAGTTCCCATACAAGGTCATGGATATGCATATAATGTTATGAGTTCTTACTGCCATTGTCTTAAATCCTACCTTTAAATAAAGCTTCATGCATCTTTAAAAATCAACTAGCTTCTGTAAAAGTGTTTAAGAAGTTAGTAGGTGTAAGTGGAAGCTAATTCTTTCAATAGAGGGTCCTTTAATAGGTTTATACGTATTCGTGCTGGGAGCTTATTCTGTTACATTAAAGGAACTAAGTTACTATTTAAAGTAATATGTGAGATTATGAAATTGCAAGGTGTCTGCAATAGATCAGAATTGAATTTAAGAAACAGATATTCTCAGTAGGTTGTCTCATGGTGCACTTGTTTCTTGAACTAAGGCTGCTTTTGATACCACAGTACAGAAGAGGAGGACATTCACTGTGATTAATATTTGATATTCAGCAGTGACACGTTGTGTTTGCAGTCTGAAGAAGCATTTCCTCATCAGTGTCATTGCTGCAGAGAAGGCTTAGTTCTCAAAACTAAATCAATACATCCAAGTTTAGTCTACCTATGCCATACTCATCTTACCATTAGTATGAAGGAGCACTTTAGAAAAAAGAACTCAACAGATGTGAACTGTGCTGATGTTAATAAGTCACAAAAAGAAAACTCAGGTTTTTTTCCTGAAGCTTTCCACCATTAAAAGTAGTATGCATTCATCCATGAGGCTATTGATCTGTGTTCAAGAACTGTGTTTTTTCCTGTGACTTTAATTCATTCCTTCTCTGAAATTTGACACTTCAACATTGTTTATGTAGTAATTCCCAGTGGAGAAAATCAGTTGCATCTACTTATACTCTACTCATAACTTGTGATTTTCCGTTGCCTTACAAGTTGTAAAAGTGTCTTGAAGTAGTCCCAGCAGAAAGCTTCCTTGCCAGTCCTCCCTCCCCTACCCCAGTCTGAAATCTTTTTTTTTCTTTTTTTTTTTGGAGCTGAGTGGTTTGAAGTATTTAAGGATTTTGAAAAGTACACTATCAGCACTCAGTTTTTTAACCATGCATAAAAATTACTGCATCCAGTAACATTTGTCGTGATGATAGCAAAGTACATTGTTTATCTTGCCTTGTTTACTTTCCTCTGGTGGGTTGGCTTGTGTAGTAATTAACAAATCTGTAGTTCTTCCAGTGTGGCTTATGACAGGAAATGGCATTGTTATTGATGGTATTGAATTGGAAAAGTTTCATGTAAACAGGATGAATAGATCTAGGAAGTCCTTAATGGGTTAAAAACAGAGTTGTAATTCTGTAACTCAGAATTCTAGCTAGCCCTGGTGTTCAAAACAAACTGATGTAGGACACCAAAACGTTAGATATGTTGTTAACTCCTTTGGCTTGAGTTCACTTTTCTGTGTTTTCTTTTTGTTTGGATTTTTGTGCAGGAGAAGAGTTCAAAACCTTAAATTTTTTGTTAAATTGAATTTTCACTATTTCAATTTAAATTAGTTATTTTTGATGGAAGGTTAGATGGAGCTTTTCACACTTCCACCAACTATCTATAGAGCCCCCGAAAAAAATCAAAACAGTAAAAGTACGCTTTAAAAATATATATATGCTTATAAAAAATCATAACAGTAAAAAACACAGTGGGCCCCAGTTTGATGTGCTTGATTACGGGGCTAGTTTCTGCCTCTCCTCTTGTAGGAAGTTATCACTAACTTTGCTTATCTCAAATAACACTTCAGATGTTTTGGTAGAACTGGCCCTTATATCTTTATGCAAGCTGTGGCTTAACATGCTGTAGACAGAATACTTCTTATCTCTCTTCTGTTCTGCACAAAGTTTGCTGAAGGCTGGTTCATAAATGGAGTGCAATCTTAAAAAGCAGCCATTTTAGCAGGGCAAGTATACCTGGATCTCAATTTCTTTCTAACAAACAGTTAATGCAAGGTTACACCTTCTGTTTTTGTTGCCACTGATGTCTCCTTTATTACATGTTCAATCTAGAATTTAGGCCTTACTGAAGGCAGTAGGAAAATTTACCTTTGGTTTCAAGTCAGCAGTGTGCTCTGGTAGTGACAAAAGCTAGCTATGTGCTGGGCTTCATCAAGAACAGTACAAGAACGGTACATGAATTGATTATTCCCTTCTGTTTGCTACTCATTAGGCTGCATCTAGAACACAGTGTCTGGTTTTTTGGTTCTTCAGTACAAGAAAGATGTTGAAAATTCCATGCAAGTCCAGGGTGAAGGGAGGCTGAGAGGAGCAGGGCTTTTTCTGTTTGGAAAAGAGAATGGAGGTGCCACCTACTAGCAGCTCTCCAGTACCCACGATGATTTTTACAAAAAAGAGGCAAGTTCTTTATTTAGATGTAAAGTAGGAGAACAAGAGGTGAGAGGTGTAATTTTTGTTGGGAGGTTCCTGCTGGAAGAGAAGGCCTACTTTGCATTATAAAAATAAGCATAACAAAACAGTCATGTGATTTGAGAAAACTTTGTTCTATGTTAGTGTTTATAACTTTCTTTAATATTTTTGTATGGAAAAAAATGCTTCTTAATTATAGTCTGACAGTAGTTTAGCTCCTTGTGCAGTCAGCTGATTGCCTTCACTTTTTGGAAGGAGTAATGTAATTCACTCATAAGAAAAGCAGCAATATATTTATTAATATGAGCGATTTATCAAATTTTTGAAACTAAGCTACAGTTGATTATGTGACAATAGACTTGATTATAAAATATATGAAAGACTTTATGTACTACACAAAAACGGAGTCAGTGAAGTTACTAGGGAGGCCTTGTGGTTGAGTGATGGGGTTCAGAATGGAGTCCCCATACTACTTAGGTGGTAAGATGATTGACTCGTAGGCATATTACATAACTTCAGTTCTGAGCTAGATGTTAATTCCTCCAGAATCTGGCTTGACCAGACAGTGAATAGCACTGGATTTAGGCTGCAGTTAGATTAGTACTTGATCAGTTAGCCCTTTAGATGTTGAGCAAGATGCCATTTTCTCCAGCATCTAGCCTTGACTGGAAAGCAACCACTGTTATGGTTCCCACCCACTCAAGCAAGTCTGATGGTAAAATGGTTGGGCTGCAGAGAGGAGGATAAGGGGGAAAAGCAAGTTGACATCACTAATTTTTATTTTAATGCATCGTGTCTGGAATGTTTCATGGCCTTTGAAAGTAGTTTATGCTGTGATGATTAGCTGTCTTATACCCTGCTAGCATATGTTATATGATGTAAATGCTCCTCCAGAATTATTGCATTGATCTTTCATGAAGAATCAAATTGTTATTTTACAACCTTACAATTGAGTGCTGAGTTGATTATTCATGGGTTTGTGAATGTATGCCAGTTATCACTGCAAATCTCTGAGTAGGGGAAGAAATGCACAACACAGTAAGAATGGGGTTGCAAATCAAGAAGAGTAGTTTGTTTTCCTTTGCCAAAGGAAAACTGAAGTGTATTTTTAGCAGGGAAGTTGGACACAATGATCTCTTCCCAGAGGTCCTTTCCAACCCCTGCATTTCTGTGATTTTGTGATCTTTAGGGCCTTCACAGAGCTGCTTTCCTACCTTTTATGAGGATATCTTAACCTTCCACGAAAGCCAGCAGCCCACGCAGCGGGATGGGAGGGAATGGGAAGTGTACAGGCAGAAGTAAATTGGTTGTTTAGTCTATTTGTTTTTCACAAAGGTCCCATAGTCTGTGGCAGCTTGTGTATTTTGAATGTTTTATTAATCCCTATATGTGTTGTTCATGAGTAAAGGGATGATCTGTAGTCACAAAACAACGATGACGCTTTGATTGACAAGTAGTGGTCATTAGCTTATACCTTGAAGCTGGAGTGCTGTGTAGCACTCCTTGCTTTTATCTCTTTATGCAAGTCTTTTTTTTTTTAACTGTTGACAGTTTATTTGGGTTTTTGAGCTTTCTTCACATAAACATTCTCATCAGTTCAGTAAGTTAGCAGTTCAGCAGCGTTTTCGTCTTCTGAGGTCATCAGAAGCGCATCTTTTCTTATGTAATGCACTCACATTAGGTGATCTGTGCCTAAGAAAGATGATTTCTAAAAGGAATGAAAGTTATGTGAGTAGGAGAAAAACATCAAGTTAGTGTCATAATTCCTTTTCTTGGTGAAATATGATTAGTATAAACAGAAGGGAGAAAAAGGCAGTAAGTCAAAGTGAAAGCAGGTGCTGACTGAGGATGAAGCGTTCAGAGGAAATTGTCAGTTACAGATTTTCAAGAATGTCTGGGCAGTGCACAACAAACAATCCATTAACATAATACCAGTGTCACAGTAAACAGCTTCAGCCTCTGCCTCACTCTTCAGTAGAGGTCCTTTCTCTTTCATGGCCGGGAGATTAGTGCAGAGTTCTTGCATTACTATGCAGTGTCCCTTGTGAAGACTTCCAGCAGAAAGCAGGGAAGGATGTTGTAGTTTCCACTTTCTCATGCAGCTATCAACTTAGTTCTATAGTTTTCTGATGTAACAGAAGCAGAAAATGTGATTTAGTGATTACTGAATGTAGAGAACTTGTGCTGTCCTTACATGCTTCCTTTGTCAGAAATGGCAGAACTAATCCTGCCTAGCACATCCCTCTTCTCACTGAGCATCTGCTATTGTTTTTAATTGTTTTGGTCTTCTTTTCAAATAGATTCCATGTACCTATTTCAGTTACTTTTGGCATTTCACTGTCTAAATTAGGTCAAACTGAAGAATGAGAGAAGGGCCCCACCGCAAAAGATGAGAAAAAGGCTTCACAGGAACTGGGGATAGTTAAAGGTAGTTTACAGAAGTGAATATGTAGAGGTTGCTAGAAGAATGGGAATTGCAGACACTGGGACTGAGACAATGTGGGGGTTAGAGAACATAAAGATAAGAGTTTGAGAACAGCCTGAGGACCTCTGGCTGGGAGGTGATAAGATGTCCTCAGGGCAGGCTAGAACTGGATGGGGGCTGCCCCTCCCTCAGGGTCAGAAGTTTACAACAAGGAAGACTACAAGCCTTACCTAGAAAGGCTGCTGCTTCATCCCATGACCACCAGGAGGAGGCCCCCACAACTCACTGCACATGTGCGAGGGGGAGGGCCTGCATGCTAATGGATTCCCAGAAATGTAATGAATATGTATCCAATTTCCTGGAAACAATTGATTATGTATTTAGTTTGGCCTATATCTATAGCTCACTTTTTCCTCACAGCATGCAGGTTAGGCAGATCTATTCCCCTTGCACCCAGCATATGTGCACTGTTGAAATAAACATACCTGCTCTCATTCCTTAATCTGGCTATAGAGTTTGATTTCTGCACATCAGTTTGGCGACTCGGATGAGACAACCTCTGTTTGGCTGTGGGACCAGCTGAGAGGGGAGACATCATTGGTGTGCCCTGAGATTTCACAGGACTCTCCTTCCTCATCCAATCACTGCAGGAACAGACAAGGACCATTTGTTGGCGGGCCAGGTATGTGTACGGAAGAGGGGAATTTGTAAGTCATGAGGAGACTTCCTACGCAGGGTATGAAGGAGCGTGCATCGTGCGTGTACCCCCCCAAGGTATGTGAGCTCATGGGTTAGGTTGCCAGCTGGGGTAGGAAGACTCCTTGGGGAAGTTCCTACTAAGGGGACCTGTAAGTCGTATGCAAGGAAAGAGCAATAGCTCTCCCTTAGATGATCAGTGACAGTGGCTATCTTGTCAACTGATAATGTGGAAGTTATAGGTTGTATTATTGTGATCACCATCTGTACAGTGTGTTTGAGTAATTGCTATCAAAACACACAAAAGTAGTTCAGAGCTCTGATTTGGTAAAGTGTAAAGTCGGCATTGTGTGTGATTGCAAGTGAATGTCTTGAATACGAGACATTGTGGCACAGCTGCAGGGCGAGTGCAGAGTATAAGGGTGATCGTTGTCTGTCTGTATGTTTTTGTATGAATTTATGAATGGGAAAGACGAACCCATAGAGAGATTCCCACTCCATTTGGGAAATGAATGTCAACTTGTTTATGTAACACTGTGTTCTGCTTGCAAGGAGGTGTGTGAGGGAGGTGGGTCAATCAGTGCTGGTTCTATGGCGAGGTGTTTATAACCAAGCAATATAGATTTATTAGGGGGAAGTTATATGGTATTAAGGGTGTTTGTGGAAACTGAAGAACTGTGTGGTTTGATTTGTGGGTTTTGAAGGGAGTGGGACAAACTGTTTTGATGGTATAAGAAAGTATAATTGTTAATGGTATACAGAAGTAGAATTGAGGGTATGTGGATGTCTAACTGAGGGTACAAATAGTGGAATAGTGTACAAAGGAAAAAGGGTTAAAGAGAAAGTGAGTTTATCTGTGCTGGCATGAGAGCAATCCCCCCACCCCCTTCCCTCACTAGCAGAACTCTAGGAGTGACATACTGAGCCAGGATGGAGACTGCTGCTCCCATTGCTTGCAAGGAGGGGAGGTGGAGAGGATAGGGCACTGGACGTGAGAATGGCCTTCATCTGCAAAGATCTAAGAAACCCAAAATCCTAGTGTTAGCACTGGAAGCTTCTGGAGAGGAGGAGGTAAAATTGAAATATGATGTTAGTAGTTTAATGATGAGAGTTTGGAAACTGAAAAGTTCGGGAAGAACACAGACTGAGGAAGGCAAAGATGAGCAGGGTGTAACAGGGATGTCAGTACTGAAGAGAGGTGAGCGGTATGAAAGAAAAGAGAGAAAAAAACTGATTGAGAAACAGAGATAGTAAGGAAACTGGGAATAACAGCAGCTGTTACTTTTGCAGCACTAGAGCAGGGCCGTAGGACACAGAGATCCCCTCAGAGGAAGGTGGGAGGGCTGGAAGAGCCAAGAGAAGAGGGGGCTCCGCCCTACTGGAACAAACTGCAGTGTAATGGGACACTGGTGGAGAAATCCTACCAAGATGAGTGAGGGGGAACTGTTTCTGGTTGCAAAGCTGAAGGATGGGAACCTGGGAAGTTTACCATAGCAGATCCACTGATTAACTTGCAGCTAGGGGAGCAGGATAAAGAGGTTTATTTTCTGGTGGACACGGGTGCCTCTTACCACCCATAGATGATTTTGCAACAGTAGTAGGAGATGCTTACTTTTGGGGATCAATTAAATACAGGCTGAGAAAACATCTAGGAATATGTAAATTCTTGTACATGCCAGGTTACTCTGGCAAGAAATTGAATGAAACTGGAGTAAGGGTCAAATTGAGAATTGTAAGTCTGGTTTTAACGCAAACTGGTAGAAACAAGGTTGTACCCCAGAGGTTACAGAAATCTTAAATAAGGTGCGCTTAGGAGTGTGGGTATCAGGGATACCTGGCAGAGCCAAAAATGCAGCCCTAAACAGAAGTTCAGTTAAAAGCAAGAGTTAGCCTAGTCAGGGTAAAGCAGTGCCCTTTGAGGATATGTGATTGTAAAAGGATAAAAGAAATAGTAGATAATTTTTGGAGTTTGGATTACTAATTGAATATGAATCCCAATACAATACTCCAAACTTGCTGATGAAAAATTGGAAAGCAAGTGCTATAGTTTGGTACAAGATTTGAGGGCAAGTAATTGCATGCATGCACTCGGTGGAAAATTCATACACTATTAACTAGGTTAAGGAATGAGTAGGTGGAGTTTACCTTCTGGATTTGAAGGATGCCTTTTCTGACTGGTTTGGCCAAAGGAAGCCTAAAGTTGTTTACCTTTGAATAGGAAAACCCTGATATGGGGATTAAAAAAAAACCTGGACAGTGTTACCCAGGGTTGTGAGAACAGCTCAGTGATTTTTGAGAGCTGGTCAACTCGTGAACCTGAGACTTGGGTTCCTCCATCCCAGGATGGAACTTTACTGCAAGGATGTGGATGCCACGGAAACATAAGAGGACTGTGTACAATGGACTGTGAGTTTACTGAATTTCTTGGTTTAAATGATTATCAAGTTTCTGAACAGAAAGCACTAATAACTCAGCAGCAAGTGACGTATGTGGGTAAGAGATTACAGCTGGACTTCAAACCTTAACGACTGTCAGGAAAGAAGCCATCTGCCAACCCCCTGAGCCACAGACTGCCAAGGAACTCCATACATTCCCAGGAATGACACGTGGTGCTGACTGTGGATACACAGCTATGGACTGTTGGTAAAAACAAAATATTCTATGAAATGGGGAAGCAAGGAGGCCATTCCCTCAGTTGAAACAACAACTCATGAAGGCCCTCTGCTTTGGGACTAACAGACATGACTAAACCGTTCTGCCCTCGCATGGAAAACAAGGAATAGCGCTGGGAGTTCTTGCCCAGAGCCTTGGACCCTATCAAAGGGGCAGTGGCATACTTCTGCAAACAGCTTGATAAAGTAAGGGATGGCCAGGGTGCATGAGGGCAGTAGCTGCACTATTGCTCAATATTCAAGAAGCCAGTAAAGTTATGCTAGGCCCAAGAATAACAGTTTTAATATCTTATTCCATGTCTACTGTATTGGAGGTAAAAGAGGGGCATTGGCTTTCACCTCATTGGTTCCTGAAATACCAGGCCATCCTGGTAGAGCAGGATGATGTAGAAATAATTGTAACTAATGCTGTCAACCCAGTATCTTTTCTTAGTGGAACTCCTAGAGAACCAGTATTTCATGACTGCTTTGAAACAACTGAAGCTGCATATTCCGGCTGGTCAGATATGAAGGATGAGCCCTTAGAAGATGCAGAAGCCACCTGGTTTACTGACAGTAGCAGTTTTGTGAAATAAGGAAACGGTAAGGCAGGACATGCAGTAACTGCTACTGACAAGGTAATCGAAGCACAGCCATTATCTGTGGGGACTTCCCTCAGAAGGCTGAAATAACTGCCTTGACAAGAGCCTTAATTATATAGACAGATGCTAATTATGTATTTGGGATGCTACACACTCTTAGTGCAATCTGAAAAGAGCAAGGATTGCTCACATAAGGAAAACATCATGATGTAAATCTACCAAAGTGTGTGGCTATTATATATTGTGAAGGACATCAGGAAGGTAACACTGTACAGGAAACTGGAAATAAGAAGATGGATCAGGTGGCAAAGCAGGTAGTTGAAGAAGGCTTTAATTCCAGATAGTAAGCTTAAGATCTCTGAATCTGAGTCAAACCTGTAAAAATATTCTAATGAGGTTAGGAATGTATGATATAGAAGGGAAGAAAGCAAGCTGATAGATGGGTGCATGCCCAGATGGACACATTGTTATGCCCTTCAGTATTTTACAAAAATTAGTTCTAGGGAAAGATAAGAAAATCTATCAGTAAACAGACACTACAAAGTACAATCCTAGTACCAGGAATAGGGTACAAGTGGGCCTATTGGGAAAGGGGGCCTTCCAGGGCAACAATGCAAATTGATTTCTTGGAGCTCCCAAGAAAAGGGGTGTTGCTGTATGTTGGTACTAACTGATATCTTTTTACAGTGGCCAGAAGCATTCCCTTGTAGAACTAATAAGGCATGTGGGGTAACTAAAGTATTTTTACAAGAGGTTATTCCAAGATGCTGAGAAACTACTTGGTCTGTCAAGTGCACTGTCAGAAGTTAAACTCATACAGAAAAGATAAGTCGGTTACTAATTTGCTTTATCTCAGTATACACAGGGTGGTGTTTGTGGCAAAGTAATATTGTGTGCTGTTACATTTTGTATTTTGCTTGCAATAGTACTATCTTTTGTGTTGTTGTGGGTAGTAATGTTGTACCTCTGTTTTATTTATTTGTTATTGTTAAATGTATGATTGTCACTCTTCTCCCTTCTATTTGGATCAGTGTTACATTGTCATGCTTAATAGTGGCCACTATTAAAGAAAGTAATAAAACTCTCATTAGTGGGAACAAATATCATAATGGAAATAATATAGTAAGCAAGTGTCATTTGAGTAAAGGTTTCTGGTGGCTGTGTGGAAATGGGAGAGCTTGAAAATCAGTGTCAATAAATTGGAAAGGGTATTGCATAGGAGGATATTTAGCACCTCCTACAAGCGTCCATCCAAAAGAACTCCCACCAGGCATAGTGAGAACTGTGTGGAGCTACTATCAAAATCCCAGGAGGGTTAAAAGGGTAAATAAACTACTGGTAAGGTACAATACAGGATACCATATCTTTGTGAGAGCCCTTATCCCAGTCTTAGGAGTAACTCAGCTGGAAAAGGCTGTGAATATTGTGAATATCTCTGCAACTCTAGAAATAGTAGAAAGTGCCACAACAGATGCATTACCAGCAATCCAAGAGGAGGTAACCTTTTTATCCAAAGTGGTATTTCAGAATAGGATGACATTAGACCTGTTCACAACTAAACAAGTAGGGGGCTCCACCCCTACTGGTTGCACGGCTGAATTGCCTTCACCTGTGCTCCCAGGGCTGACCCTGTCCTTTCCCCAGGTGATCAATCAGTGGTTCAGGCTGTGACTCAGCAGTTCCCATGCAACGTATATTTCTGCATTATTGCGACTGCCTCATCCCATGGTGGTCATGGAAACATAGAATAGTTTGTGTTGGAAATGACCCTTAAGGTCATCTAGTTGCAACCCTCCTGCTGTTGGCCTGGACAGCTCCCTCTAGACCAGATTGCTCGCAGCCCCATCCAGCCTGGCCTTGGACGCCTCCAGCCTTGGAAGGGGCATCCGTGACCAGACTGGGCATCCTGTTTCAGTGTCTGGCCACCCTCACAGTCAAGAATTTCTTTCTAGTATCCAGTCTAAATGTATCCTTTTCCAGTTGAAAGCCGTTAGCTTCTTATGCTGTTGCTACTTGCCCTTACAAAAAATCTTACCCCAGTTTTCATTGTAGGCCCCCTTGAGGTACGCTCTAAGATCCCCTAAAGCCTTCTTTTCTCCAGGCTGAAGCGCCCCAGCTGGGAGGTGCTCCAGCCTCTGATTATCTTTGTGGCCCTTCTCTGGACCCACTCCAACAACTCCATGTTCTTCTTGTGTTGGGGGCTCCGTAACAGGGCACAGTACTTCAGATGGGGTCTCACGAGAGCAGAGTAGAGAGGCAGAACCACCTCCCTTGACCTGCTGGTCTCATTTCTCTTGACGCAGCCCAGGATGCAGCTGGCCTTCTGGGCTGCAGGTACACGTTGCTGGCTCATGCTGAATCTCTGATCAACTGACACTCCCAAATCCTTCTCCTCAGGGCTGCTCCCAAGCCATTCTCTGCCCAACCTGTATCTGTGCTTGGGATTGCCCTGACCCAGGTGCAGGACCTTGCACTTGGCCTTGCTGAACTTCATGAGGTTGGCACGAGCCCAGCTCTCAAGCCTGTGCATGTCCTTCTGGATATCATCCCTTCCTTCCAGCTTGTCAGCTGTACCACTCAGCTTGGTGTTGCATGCAGACTTGTTGTTGAGGATGCACTTGATCCCACTGGACTTCTTCAAAAAAAAAAATGCTGTTGGCATTGTCTTTTGTAAAGAAGCAAGGATTTGTAGGTATTCAGAAGTTGTGTTCTGGTCACAGGCGCTTTGATTAATACAGTTTGGATTGTTTTGGGAACTTGGGAGTGCTTCATTTATTTTATTTTATTTTTTTTTATAGTATGTGCAATGAGTTCTCTCAGATATTTCAACTGTGTCAGTTCGTGATGGTAAGTATTAGTTTTTTTTTAACCTCTTCCACGCTACCTCCTCCCAGTTATGCCTTAGTAATATTCACTGATGTGTTCCCACAGGAAAACTCCCAAAATGCTCCTTTAGTTCATGCGACTTTGGAAACTTTGCTACGGTTTCTGAACTGGATTCCCCTGGGATATATATTTGAGACTAAGTTAATCAGCACACTAATATACAAGGTATGCATGTAATTACTGACAGCTTTTCAGTTTAAAAGTTGCAAAATGTGTATCATATAACACCTTTGTAAAACGCTTTCTTTTCTTTTCTCAATGGTTCTCAAGTGTTCCCATATCCCATAAGCTTTCTGTCAGCTCCTTATCTGTGCCCAAGTGGAGCTCCATGGATTCCAGGTGGTCAGTGATGTAGAGCACAACACCTCTTCCCCTCCCAGTTTTTCCTGAGGAGTTTATATCCATCTATTCCTACATTCCAGTCATGAGAGACATCCCATCACGTCTCAGTGATGCTGATGTCATCGTAGCCCTTTAGGCACCAAATGCCTGCTTGTTCCCTGTGTTCCATGCATTGGTGTAGACACTTGAGTTGGGCTCCCATTGAGGCTGATATTCCAATTACAGTTCCTTTACCCTGTAAGTTAGGTCCTGTTTTACTGGCCTTTGATCCTACTCTTTGCACTCTACCACTTCCTGAAGGGAGGTTGTGGTGAAGAGGGATTTGGCCTCTTTTCCCAGGCAACAAGCAGGACATGGGGTAATGGCCACAAGTTGTATCAGAGGAGGTTTAGGTTGGACATAAGGAAGAAATATTTCTCTCAGAGAGTGGTCAGGCACTGGAATGGCCTGCCCAGAGAGGTGGTGGAGTCGCTGTCCCTGCCAGTGTTCAAGAGGCGTCTGGACGACATGCTGTGTGATATGGTTTAGTGCTTGTGGTGGCAATGGTGATGAGGTGAGTTAGACTCAATGATCTTATAGGTCGCTTCTAACTTTGTGATTCTACTCCAGGCCCAGGGCATCCATTACCATTGTCAGCCTCAAAGTGCAATGACTTAGAATCTCTACTCCCAGCAATTCTAGTTTAAAACCCCTCTGATTAAATTGGAATGTTTGCTGCCAAAAATGGTCTTCCCTTGTCTGACAGATGAACCCTATCCTACTCCAGAAAACCAGATTTCCTCCAAGTGAGTTCCTTGACATGAGTAGCCAAAGCCATGTTCTCAACACCACTCCCTTATCCGTTTATTGATTTTGTTAATTGCCTGTCCTTTCCCATTTCCCTAACCTGGCAGATTGATGAGAAGACTACCTGTGCTCCCAAATTCTTCAGTGTTGCTCCCAGCTGCTTCTAGTCCTTGATATCTTCAGGTTGCTGGTAGCTGTGTTGCTGGTGCCTCCATGAAACAGTAGCAGGGGATAGCAATCTGTGTGACATGCAAACTCTGGCAGCAGACCTCTCTAGATTGCAGGTCAGAGTGACAAACTGCTGCTTCTGTACCCCTCAGAAGAAAATCATCCACTACTTTCACCCATTGCTTTTTCTTAGTTGCAGTAGTTGTTATGCAACAGGGTGCAGGTCTGGCTGCCTTGCATAGTTCAGATGACTTACCTGCTACCTGTTTCTTTTTCCTTCTCAGGCTGGAGAACTGCAGAGGCACCTTTTAGAGTGCCTAACTCCTGCAGAGGCTTAGAGGCGGGCTTTTTCCTCTAACAAGAGGAAATTTTTTCTCATGGCAGCTTGCCATTTCTCATCCCTGTTTGTCTCCGCTCCAACTGGATACACTAGTGGGGAAGTTTAGGGCTATTCGGGCCCATACTGTGTATTTAATGCAGATTGCACATAAATCTGGCTGACCGTCTGTATCCCTACCTCCCAGATAGCACACAGCCTGTCTCCTTGATGTCAGTCAGCTGTTGCAGAAAGTCTTCCACCTGGGCACATCTTACACAGGCAAGTTTGCCACTCACTTCTGCTGCAGGTGAAAGGTGCAGGCACTTCCCACATACCATGGCCTGCACAGATGCTTCTTCCTTTAGAAGCTAAGTCTGAGTGGAGGTACTGATGATGACTGGGGTAGGTGGTGCACACTCCCCTGCCAGAGCTGCAGCCTTAGCTTGGCATTGTAAATGCACCATTCTGCTTTGAAGGTCACTTGGAATGAGTGCCCCCTCACTTCTGAAGCTGGTAAAACTGTGGTGCCCTGCCATGCAAGGTGCTGCTCCACACACACACGGGTGACAGCCATGCTCTGTTTGCCAACCCTGTACTTTGTGGGCAGCAACTTGTCACTGCTTTTCCCAAGGAAAAGAACATGGCCTCTGTTGCCTTGCCAACACCCACTTCTGTTATGAGAGCTGCACACTGCTGGAGGGTCCTTCTACTGTCTTGGTGTTTCCCTGACAAAGGAAACCTGCAGGCCTCCTCCTACCTTGAGATCAGTTGCTCTGGTTCTGGCTGGGCCAGCTTTGAAGCAGCTGCTCTTGATGACTGGTGGTTCTGGGCTTCAGCCATATAATTTTCCTGCCTTTGCCCTGGCAACACCAGTGCCATGTCAGCCTCTCTTGTGAGAACTGCCCATTGCTGGAGGGTCCCTCCATTGCCTTGGCATCGCTGTTGTTTCATGTACGCATTAAGCTGTCACTGAAACCTAATGTGACAAAATGATTTGTTTTAACCTGGATAGTGATTGCTGTGGCTGTAATAATACTTTCTGATAGGAATGGCTATGTAGCTAGAATAGGTGGGAAAGGGGAATGCCAGTATCTTTTAGCAGCAGTATTTGTATTCGTAATTCTTATTATAATTGAAGGCACTACCAGAACCTGGAACCTCAAGGCACAATGCGTCCCCACACAGCCCAAGTCAAGTGCTATTCCTAAAAAGCTTACCAAGTAGGTGAAAAAATAATGTTTGAAACAAGTCTCACAAAATTTATACAGAGTGAGAGTCTGAGGACTTTGAGGAGTATGCGGACTTTGCTCTTGTTTGCAGAAGAAATACTTTTCACCTGAAACTGAAGTCAAACAGTCACTACAAACCACTGTCACAGCATGATGTAAAATGCTTTCTGAGGCAGACAAATTAGCATATATTAGAGGAGACTGTAAGGTTCTAAAGAATCAGGTTTTATGGATTTATTCTGTTTTGGTTTTTTTGTGTGTGTGGGAAGCAGGGACAGGAAGAGAGGCAGGTTTGAGGTGCAGATGGGGACACAGCTGGAGATTGTAGCCAGTATTTGTTAACTGAGTTACTAAATTTTGTTTGTCTCTGTTGGCAAGAGTTATTAAAGTACTTGATTATGGCATTTGTTTCCCTTCTTTGTCAAGAGAAAAAACCCCTAGTTAAATCACTCTTCGAAGAGTAGTCACTGAACCAGGGAAGCTAACTTCAACAGCAGTTAATGTTGTGTGTTTTGTCCCTTCAAGGTAAATTTAGGGACCTTGATAAGTCCTGGGAACTTGCTGCTGATCAATTTGCAAAGCCAATTTGCAATATTTCTGTCACAATCCTGGGACAAGGAACCTCTAAAGTATTTTCAAAGACCCGTACCTGTAGTCAAATGGAATAACTATTGCTTTAAGTAGTGATTCAGTTCTGTCAGCAGTTTACAGCCTAGTTCTGCCTGGCTCCATGACTAGCAGGGCAAGGGGACCCACAGAGCTATGGCTGGGGAAAAGATAGGGAGATGGGCCTGAAAACAAAACCAGCAGAATGATCTGAGGAAAAACAAAACTGATTTAGTAAGATATTGGAATGCAAGATAATACGCTATAGTACAATATAATTAGAATTGAAGCTAACAAATAAAATGAGAGTGTCCAAAAACCAAAGACCTTACTCTAATGCTGAGTCAAGACATCTGGCCAGGCCAAGCAGGAGGGGAAAGGGGGATGTCTCGTGATATGAGAATAGTTTTGTCTTTCTCTCTGAACAGAAAAAAAAAAACAACCAGATACCCGGAATTATCCACAGTCCACAGAATTGGAGTATTAACTCTTTAACTCCCAGAGTACAACATCATGCTATGATGTGGAATACCAATAACAAAAACCATAAAACTATGACAAGTTCGTATTTCCTTTGTTAATATAGATAATTTTACATGGAGAGTGATATTTATGTTCCACTAATAGAAAACTTTCCACCAAATGTTAATGTAGAGCATTTTTGTAGTTTGGAGGGACACTCCCATATACAAGAAGGGGAGCAGGGAGGACCTGGGGAACTACAGGCCGGTGAGTCTCACCTCTGTGCCTGGGAAGATCATGGAACAGATCCTCCTGGACAACATGCTCGATCACATAAAGAATGAGCATGTGATCTGAGACAGCCAGCACGGCTTCACCAAAGGAAGGTCATGCCTAACTAATCTTGTGGCCTTCTATGATGGAGTGATGGCATTGGTGGACAAAGAGAAGGCGACCGATGTCATTTACCTGGACCTGAGCAAGGCCTTTGACATGGTCCCCCACCACATCCTCATCTCCAAATTGGAGGGAAGTGGATTTGATGGGTGGACGACCCGATGGATAAGCAATTGGTTGAAAGGCCGCAGACAGAGGGTGGTGGTCAATGGCTCTGTGTCCAGGTGGAGGCCAGTAACAAGTGGTGTCCCCCAAGGGTCTGTCTTGGGAGCGGTGCTCTTTAACATTTTTATTAATGACATCAATGAGGGAATTGAGTGCACCCTCAGCAAGTTTGCTGACGACACCAAGCTGAGTGGTGCGGTTGATACGGTGGAAGGAAGGGATGCCATTCAGAGGGACCTCGACAGGCTGGAGGGCTGGGCCCAGGTGAACCTAATGAGGTTCAACATGGCAAAGTGCAAGGTTTTGCATTTGGGCTGGAAGAACCCCAGGCACCCGTACAGGCTGGGAGGAGTGGGCCTTGAGAGCAGCTCGGCAGAGAAGGACCTGGGGGTCCTGATGGACGAGAGACTGAACATGAGCCAGCAGTGCGCTCTGGCAGCTCGAAAGGCAAATGGGATCCTGGGCTCCATCAGGAGAGGGGTGGTCAGCAGGGAGAGGGAGGTGATTGTCCCTCCCTACTCGGCTCTTGTGAGGCCCCACCTGGAGTACTGTGTCCAGGTGTGGAGCCCTCAGTACAAGAAAGACATTGAGATTTTGGAAAGGGTCCAGAGGAGGGCGACTAAGATGATCAGAGGGCTGGAGCACCTCCCCTATGAGGACAGGCTGAGGGAGTTGGGCTTGTTCAGCCTGGAGAAGAGAAGGCTGCGGGGTGACCTCATTGCAGCCTATCAATACCTGAAGGGAACCTACAGCCAGGAGGGGAGTAAACTCTTCAAAAGGGCTGACAACAGCAGGACTAGGGGAAATGGATCCAAGTTGAAGGAGGGAAGATTTAGGTTGGATGTTAGGGGGAAGTTCTTTACAAGGAGAGTGGTTAGGCCCTGGAACAGGCTGCCCAGGGAGGTTGTGGATGCCCCGTCCTTGGACGTGTTCAAGGCCAGGTTGGACGGGGTCCTGGGCAACCTGATCTGAATGTGTACGTTTGGTGGCCCTGCTAGGCAGGGGGGTTGGAACTACATGATCCTTGAGGTCCCTTCCAACCCAGGTGATTCTGTGATTCTGTGATTCATCTCAGGGGTCGGGACCTGAGCACAGAAATGTAAGAAATTCAATAGATATATAAAATGCTCACCCACCATAACAAGGCTTCCCTCTTCCATTGAGCCAGAAGAAAGAGGGAGGGGAAAAAAAAAAAAAAGAAAGAAAAAAGGAAAAACATCACTTCTGCCATTTAAAAAAGTCTGTAGAGCTGTAACAGGAGAACTGAACAGATTTCCCTCTCAAAGGTTTTCCAGTGGGATTTGTTTCATCTCTTGCATTCTGCATTCTGCTCCAGCCTTAAGCAGAAAACACACAGCTGCAGAGCACAGTGTGTCAGCAGAGCACTAGCAGAGCTGCAGCTGATTGCCTGCTCAAAGTGCTGCCCAGCCACAGCTCCAGCCCTGCATCCAGATGGTCTGCAGGGCTGAGAGGGGCTGTGAACAGCCACAGTGCTGGGAGGAGGGGCTGTGCCCAGCTCCCACCCTCATCTTTGGCCCTAGCTGTTCTGAGAGCTACAATGTTGGCACTTTGTCTACCTTTTTTTTTTTGCGTCATGCCAGAGCACTCCATTGTTAGATCAGCAAATGGATTCTGTAGGACCTGTCGCAAAGCAGATGGACAACCTTAACTTTTCTGGAACACTTTACCTTTGGGAAGGGGGAGGTGCACACAGGGCACTGTGCACTACAGCTGCTCAGCACATTGCTTCAGAAAGAGAGGAAAGAGAGGATTGTCTAAAATAAAATTCCACTCCAGATCTCTGCCTCCGAGATTCGTGTATTTTCCATATGCTTGTCTTTTTTTTCTTTACAGCTATATTTCGCAGAAAACAAAACAAAAAGATCCTGTCCTATGACACAGAATGATCTGTCTCCCACAGACCAAGAATTTTACAAGATTTACATGGAAAGCATCGGTGAGCGAAGGTCCCTGTTCTACAAGTCACCCAGACATCCAACTATGAATTGTTTCAATGGCAATCAGGCGCACTGCTATAGAAACGGGCTTACAAAATAGGGCTTCATAGTCCTGGATATTGCAAGCATTAGATCCATATGGGTTGAACTCCCTAAGAAAGTCACATAAGCAGAAGTACACACAAAAATAGAACTTATTTTAGTTCAAACTCTGGTACATAAATACAGGAAGGTTTTATGGTTGTTAGGATCTTATGCTTTCATGACACTACAAAACGTCATAGGAAAACAGCAAAATCCTAGCAGTTTTCATTAACAAATTCTTACTAAAAAAAAAAAAAAAAAGGGAGGGGGGTGGGGACTTTAAAGTAGGATAGAACAGAACACCACAAAAGGAAACTTGTGAAGGTATATCAGCTTTGTGAGAACCTGTAATAAACAATGTGGATTGCTCATATCTGAGTCCATACAAGGACCCAGTCGGACCGAGAGTGCTGGAAGGAAGCTCGTGCTGCATAGAAGCTGCAAGGAAGTTCAGGCTGCAAGAAGTGCTGCGCTGAAAGAAGCAACCCCGTGTGGAGTCCTGCTTTTCTCTGGATAAGGAACAGCTCCAAGCTGGATGGAATGTATTCAGGGGTCTCTTGAGGGGTTTTTGCAGGGTAGATACAGAATTTGTTAAAATTAGGACTAGTTTGTCTCATTGCCTTTTTGTGTGTTTCGATTTGTGTTTCACACTTGTTGCAGTGTATACAAAAATGATACAGGATGCTTATGAACCGTGCCTTCTTTGTTAATAAGGAAGGGGGAGATGTGGGGAAAGATGTAACTGTGAGCAAGTCAGCCAAGAGTCTATCAGACTCCTTGATGGAGCCTATCACCGTGAAACCTTGGGAGTCTGGAGTGTAAGACTGAGAGCAAATGGGCTCTGTTTGCGTCTAAGGGCAAACAGGAGGTTGTGTCTGTATGCACTGTTAACCTTATCACACTTAAGAAACCTTTCATCCTTTATCACTATTGTTTGGGAGAAGCTGGGCCAATTAACTGAGGAGGGGGACAGCATTTTCCTGCTTGTAAGTGAATGGTACATCAGATGTGTGTTGAACACCATAAAGCAGAACTATTCGGAGAACAATTCTGATGCTACAAGAAACCGTGCGAGCATTGGCGCCCGAACAGGGACCCGAAGCCGGGCCCGACTTGAAGACTGACCGCTCCGGAGCACGCTGAGAAAAGCGTGGCGCTGAGAGAAGCGTGGCACACGCTGAGAAAGGGCGCAGAACACGCTGAGAAGCACGGCAGACGCGGAGAGAAGCGCCACAACCTGAGGATTCATCGCCCCGACAGCTCGGAGTGCCTTTCTCCGGACCGTTGCCGTGGGGATACATGTGAGCTCCGAACAAAAGAACGTCCGAGTTACTTTGCAGATTGTTCTGAAAAAAATGGGAAAAGACGGTGCCCGCTGCCGTTTTACAGCAGGTGCTGCTCTGGGCTGCCAAGAGTGACCCCTCGATCGCAAATCAGACCATTTACGACCCCGAAGTAGGGGACCGGGTCGGGGTGAAGCTATGGGACGCTGCTGCTGCGGGTGGTAAGACAGCGTTCGGGGAGCTGCAGACTCGGAGAAAGCTCTTTGAAGCGCTAAAGAGCCACTGAAGATCGCAGTCTGACAGCCCCAGTCTGCCTGAGGGCGAGGGAGCGGCTGGTTGCTCTGCAGATCAGCCCACGATACCATCGGCTGCCCGGCCGCCGCCGTCGGGTGGGATTTTCACTGCCGGAATCAGGTGAACGGGAATGCTCATTTCCCACTGATAACCTGGGGGAGAGGAAGAATCTTGGGGATATCCTGTACTGGTTATTGTCACTGTCTTTGTGATTGGTAAATGCTTATGGCAATGAAAATGTAAATGTAAATGGCAGATGGAAATGTAATGGTTAATGGTATACGGAAGTGGAATTGTTAACAGTGCGCAGAAGTGTGAATGTTAGTGCTGTATGGAAGTGCAAACATCAGTGCTGCATGGAAGTGGAATTAGGAATGGTACATGGAAGCGTAACTGAGGGTACAAATAGTGGAACTGTGAAAAACAAAACAACGAAGACAAAAATCAGCACAAAGTTTAAAGAAGAGCAGCGGGTTAAAATATTCAAGTCTGTGATCTGCTCCAGCCAAAGCAGATCACTGCCGGCAAGAGAACGCATACCCGCACTGCTCCTCCCCCCGCTGGTAACCAGAACGCAAACGAGGCGTTAATGGCGAGTGGGGACGAAAACAAAAGACTGGAAGCGAGAAGAGACTTGATCTGCAGAGATGTAGGAAACTCGGTATCCCAGTGTCAGCACGGGAAGCCTGAGGAGGGAGGAGCTGAGAGAAGGGCTCTAGGACCCAGAGATCTCCGCAGGAAGAGCTGGGACGGGGGGCTGGCAGGGCCCAGGAGGGTTCTGCCCTCACTGAACAGAAGAGCAGCTTGTGCCAAAAGCGGCGCTGCGTCTGGTAACAGATGCGATAGCAGTGAAGGGTGGAGAAAATGAAGCTGAGGAAGGAATGACAGCAAGGTGTGGAATTCGTAGCAAACGCTGAAGCAAAATGTGGTGTTCTTACTGCAGTAAGTGATGAGTTTGTAACCAGACGGGAAACCACTGGCAAAAGTGAGGAGGTTTGCTTTGTTAAACGTTTGCAATCTAGTATAGTTAAACAGGTAGCCATACACAGATTGTTGTACATGCCAAATTAATCCAAACCTTGACTAGGCATGATTTACTAAAACAATGCCACAGCCGATATACGAAGGTCTGGGCTCTCAGCTGCAGAGGGCAGCAGTAACCTTCCCACTGAAATGTGGCAGGTCTCCCAGTAAAGAAATACTCACGGGTGGACTGTGCATGCCCTTCAAGGCTCAAACAGGCTCAGAAGATCTTGAGAGGATCTTAAGTAAAATTGCACCCAAGTGAACTAGGAGAACATGAGGGTTTCTGCCTCCAAGGAAACAGACACAACTTACATGCCCAATGCTTACACATTTTCTTACTCCTCTTGTCTGGCCACCTTGTGACAATACGCCCTGTTTAGTGTTTATTTCTTACATTTGTATTATTCGTTGAGTAATAGCTTCCAGCATGTGCGCCCAAGCAGAGAGCAGTTATTGAGTGAGGTGGTCAGAAGGGCAGCAGCTCCTGGCTGGCCACATGCAGGGGTTTCTCAGCCATGTTTGCCAGCGAGGTGTGAGCACAGCTCCTGGGGGTAATTTTTGGTCACAGAGCCCTGCAGTGCCCGGAACAAAGCCAGCAGCCCGGCCCTACAGAGACCCATGCCAGGTGGGGCTGGGGCTGCAGCAGCCCTGCCTCTTCCCAGTCCTAGCAAACAGCAAGTCAGTCCAACAGCTCTGCTTACAGGAGAACCCGAATTTACTTCAGGCACGTGGTCCTGGAATCTGGAAAACCCTGATGTCTCCAGGTGCAGGCAGTACTGGCAAGCATCGACATCAGATGGTTTATACACCTGAGCTGCCTAACAGGAAAGGAACGGTGCCATTGTGTGCCTAAACTGAGCCCATCAGGCAGTTGTAAGGTAGTTGAGTCCTCAGAGTCCAAAGTGAGTGGAAATTTGCTACGACACTCCATGAGTGGTTAAGGTAACTTAGTTTCAGCAAGTTTTGCATTAGTAATAATGGAAAAAAAAAAAAAAACACCCAAACAATTATGATAGGTGCTGCAAAAGAAACTCCTCTTCATCTTCTGGATGGAAAGTCAATGACTGTGTGCAATTTCCCCTGTAAAGGTGTGGGGCCCTCTTCCACTCCACTGTCTCTGCTGTCTGGCATAACGGGAGAGCTGCTGTGGCCTCGTGTCCGTGCCTGTGCCTCCTCCAGGGTGAGCAGCTTTGTGGGAGGAAAAGAAACTCACAGGGACTCGGGCCACAATTAAGAACTGTGTCCTGTAAAGCAAAAGCACAGATCAGAGGAGGATCAGCAAGCAGCAGCACAGCCATCACAGCTCTGGGGGAGGTGCTGTGTTTTTCTAAGGCTTGGTTATCCCAGCTACAGCAGGATGATGTCAAAACAACCATTTTGTCACAGGTATGTTTATGGCAAAGGACAGACATACTCATAAGTGAGAGCAGCTTACTGTATTTAAGCAAGCAAACAAAACTCCTAAAAAGTGAGGACAAGTCAGTCAGAAACCTTCACTGCCATACTTGAATCAATCTTCATCTGCATGCAAAATAATGTCATGATAACAACAGTTTTCTTCTTATGAGGTCTGGATTTGCTCTCAGCATCCAGCAACAGGAAACGCTGCACACGACTGCAGCAGCTGCAACCCAGCGTGCAGGTGGACACAGAGAACTGAATCTGGCCGTGCCTTGCTCTCAGCCTGCTTACAGCCTATGCTTGTTTTTGCAGACAAACATTTAGATTTCTACCACTGTAGCCCACAGTGCCAGCTGCCAGGATCTCTGAAGCCTCTCAGTGCAGGGCAGTGCAGGTGAGCGTGAGGAGTCTGCTCTAAGAGCTGTCCCTGTTTGTCCTTTGTGTGCTCACAGGGGCTGCCTTGCCAGAGCAGTATTGCCAAGCTTAGCTGATCCTCTGTGACATCCCCTGACCCTTCTGCTTGTGGGAAAGCAGACAATGTGAACGTCTGAATCATTAAACAACTGGCCAAGGTGATATGCTCCGTTCTACAGCCTGGATCATCACATGGCTCAGGTGCTTTGCATGTCCATCTTTCCCTGGCAGAGCTCAGACTGCTGTGGGCTGTTCCTGTTCAATCAAGCTTACCCCTGCATCCTGCTGACATAAAAACTGCCTTCGAGTAGGAACAAAAGCTGCACTTACAGCAACTGTGCTATAAAAAGAAGAGCAACACTTGTATCAAATGGCAAGCAGCAAGTATTCTGGAAAAGCAGTTATCTATACTTCACCAGTGGCAATAACTGCAGTGACTGCAAATCTCATTGGAAGGTCGGGGTACCAAAGCAGATGGAACAAACTTAGCACTCCTTTGGAATAATAATTGTTTGTGCTCTTCACACTTACTTAACAAGCAGAGGAAACTTTCTTCCTGGTGCAACTCTCTTTCTTTCCACTGGACCAGGTGCACTTATGGTCTTAGCAGTCACTCAAGGACAGCTGTAGGTTCCAGGGCTGAGCACAAACACCTTGCAGTTATTTCCTCACTCTTAGCACCTAAGCTGTGGCTCATCCTAAAGCCTCTGCTGTGCAGGCAGAGAACTGGGCAACAGCAGCAGGGCCCGAGCAATCTTTGCTGTGCAGCTGGACAGCCCTGCTGATTAACTTACAGAGACTGTGCAGAAGAAACAACCATGAAAGCAGCTGTCAGAATATCTCCCATTAAGAGCAAGACTTCTGTTTCTCAGCATCAATGCTGATGAATACCAAGAGCCTTCTTTAAATCTGCTGTTTGCCATTTGTCTTCTAAGATGCTTGTAAGGATCACGCACTGTGTTGTACTGCAAGACAGCTCAAGTGGGAAAGCACACCGAAGCATTGAAGAAAGTGATTTTAGAAGGAAAAGAGAGAGTAGGGAGAAAGATTTAAGTTACTCTGTGCAGCTTGTCAGTGTGTGGACCTAACAGCAGCAGCCAAACTTTCAGCTGTATGTTCTTATAGAGCATCCCTGACTTCCCAGAAAGATACTGGTAGCCACATTTGCCATATTCTTACATCAGTCCAGAAGTCTGTTGTCTCCTCAACAGTAAAAGCATATGTGAAGTATCTTGGTGGAGATCTGGATTTGATCAAGGTGTCTGATCAAGGTAAAGCTAATGGAGGAAGATGCTCCATCTCCAAAGAACGGGCTGGATTTGGAGTGGAAGAGAACATCTGAGTGGTTCAAGATGAATTCCACAATGGTCGGCTGCATCTGCACCTCCACGAAGGCAGCTCTTCTGCTGATGCAGGCAGACTCACTCTGCTGTGACGTGAAGAAAAAACAGATGAAGTAAAACTGCCAACAGACAAAAGACTGGGAAGGCAACTCTGGCTGTGCAAAATATGTTGATTTTGGAGGGGAGGATCTACAAAGGCTGCGTGTGTTTATTTTGAGGTTTCTTTTCAACACTGTTTGCAAGATGTCAAGCATGAGTCCACTCTGATGTTCTTTTCTTATCTGGCCTCACATCCTGCTTTCCTGCATTGCTATACAATGGGTAACCCTTATCTTGTCCTCTCTTAACTCACGCAAGCAGGAGAGCACGCAGAAAGCAGCTTATATCTTTTACGCCCTATAACTAGACACTTATCTCTTTCTCCCCTGGTTCCTCATTGGCTGAGTACTTCAGGTTCATAAATCTTCCCGACGCTCAACTAAACCTATGGATACTGGATGAACATCAATTATTGCTGGCTAAGCATATATCGCTAATTAGTTAACTTCTCACACTTGCTCACTCAACACTCAGTCCTTGTTTCTGGACTTCTGCTCGTCCCTGCATAGAGATAAGCTTGGAAGGAGGACAAGGGGGAGTATCTTGATGCCTGCCTGTTGCATCCCAACCTACCCACAGAGCCAGGCAAGCCAGCCTTGCGTAGAGGCCCTGGCTTCTTTGATGTTTGTTAAGTCTGTTTTTCTTTTGCTGAGGGTCTCTTATCCAAACAAAATAGCCCTACAATATGATTTCTAGTCCATAATACTATACCTACACTATTTGGAACATTTAAGAGCTATTGCAGTTTTGCAAGCAAGAATTAATCACACAATTCAGCAACTGTATTTCTAAAGTAGGTTACTAACATATATGGTATTTCTACTTTTTCACATCAGCTATTTCTAAGGACAAGTTACTAAACACAAGTACATTGTGCTCTGCTTCTTCAGATCAATTCCCTCCTCTTAATATCTAATGCAGGAACAACATTCCATTCCTACAGCCTTGAGCAGGGATGTCTCTTGATGTCACACCTGCACAGGGATCCTTTCCATCTTGATGTCAAGACACCTTGCTGGTACGGATCCTTGGTAAGCAACTAATAATTTGGTTTGGAATTTGTCAGCTTCACTAAGGGTACATCTATCTATCTGTCTAGGATCCCTTAGACACAAACTGTCTGGGACTAGGAGTGGATCCAGCCGTGCTGAGGAACCTTACCTCTGTGCACTGAAGAGTTCACACAGCAATGGGGTTGGCTCTGATCCTCATGACACAGCAGGAGAGCATCCTGTAGATGTGTGTGTTACCCTGTCCTCTCTGTGGATAATCACCCAAAGAGAAAAACCCAGTGAGGCCACGGGCTACTCATCTCCAGCATCACATCCCGTTCAGACGTAAATAATTCTCACCTCATGGATTTGGAGCTTCCCCTTTAAACTGAAATCGGTCGGGTCTGCCGTACAGAACTCCAAAAGGACTCAAGCATTTTTCACATCTTGATTTTACCCTCATCTTCGTTGCCTGCTACCCGTGTAAGTTCTCCTCCTGCTGAATTTCAGCCACGTGCTTTCATCTGGCGATTTCCACGTGCCCCTCGTGCTCAACAGGCTGTGTGCAATTCCCAGCTGATGCCGACGGTGTGACCGAGCTGCCGCAGTACTCACAGCACCGAGCGCCCTTTGTCCAACGGCATCGCAGCAGGCGCCCGAATCGAGGTACGATGTCATTTCACAGAGCTTGTATACTCGCCCTGTTTGTGCTACAGGGAAAAGCCACCGACCGAGCTGAAGCAGCGTCTGCCAGCACCACGGCGTTCCCCGAGTTCTGAGAAATACATTTGCCATCGCCCTGCCTCCACTGTATTTTTTTACACGAATATTGGATCCCTTAATTTCAAGGACTCACGACTTCCCTGCACGTGCGCAATATACGTAAATGAAGCATTTGCCAATTACCGAATGAGAAGAGTTTAGAACGTTAGAAGCTCCGTCCAGCAGCGTTCTCACATCCAACATGGCTCCTCGACGGCTTCACCCGCTCCTCAGCGCCACACCGCCGCCCTGAACTTGCCGTGCCCTTTCTCAAAATGGCTGCCGCCAGCTTCACCCCGTGGCCGCCTTGCCCGGATGACGGCCGGGTCGCGCGGTCACGTGACGGACGCGGAGGGCGGAGCGGTTCCAGGCGTCCGATTTGTCTGCTCCTCCTGGCCGTGCCGTGCGGTCGGCTCTTGTGGGGTCCGGGCTTCCCGGGGACGGCGCCGCTTACGTACGGGATCGGCGGCAGCAGGGTGAGCGGGGTCGGTGGGTGCGGGCGGGGAGGGAGAGCCGGGGGAGGGGAGAGCGAGCGTCCTCCGAGCGGCGTTCTGTGCCGCAGTTCTTGTCCTCAGCCTGATTTCTCTCTCCTTTCTCTGGCCGAATTTCGGCGCCCCGTTACGCGTCCTCCGGGGGGGGGGTGTTGGAGCTGATGGGCAGCCGGCGTCTGGGGGCTGTGCGGGTTCTTGTGGCGGTGATGCTGCAGCAACGCGTCCTCCGCGCTCCCTTCGCTGAGCTGTGCCGTGTGTGCTCTGTTTCTATGCTGAGGCTGCACGAAAGGCATCGGTTGGTGCCTTCAGACTCGTGAAGGAAATTTACACTCGCGTTCCGAAGACGGTGCTCTCTTCCCCCTCCCCTCCCCCCCCTGCCCCCCCACGTAGAAATGCGTCTATGATCGCTGTGAGCAATGTCTGAGAAGGAACTGAGGAGCTGAGAAGGATTTCAATTCGTGCTGCTTTTTTCCCCCGTACTCTCTCCCCCCCTGCGCCACCATGTGGCCGTTATCTGCTAATTGTACTTTCAACGGTGATTATTTTTCTCATGAACCTGAAGCTGTGAATGCTGAGGTGTCAGGACAGCTGTCCTTAACTGCTGTGAGAAAAATGTTGTGCAAGTTGTAGGGCATTTTTGAGTTACGTTCTCACCTTGGCCTACGCAGCTGAATTCAGGTATGGTTTAGATTCTGAACATCTATTCAAAAAGGGGATGTTCTTAAGAGCTAGCACAAAAAACACAGGAGGAAAAGAACATAATGAAGTTAATCTAGCTGTATGTTTCTTAGGGTCTCTCTCAGGTAGTGCGTCTGCAGTTACAAAGAATAGGTGTGAGGGTTTTGTTATCTGGGGTATCTCTACAACTTTCTGAGGCTCCAGTCTGAAAAACAGACTAGCAAACAGACTTTTACTTTTTCTCCCAGTTGCTTTGGTTAGGAGGTGCAGCTGGAGGCTGTAACCCTCAGTTGCTCGTTTCATTCAATGTGCAGCTTTTGTGGTGATGCTTGCAGAGAATGTATTGGTTTTTCTTTATTAAGTTCTCAACACTGGGAATTGGCTCAGGAAGTGGATTTGCTGTCTTTTCCTTTCCTGTGGGTTTGTTTTGTCTGTTCTGTGGGGGGGAAGGATGGTGGGCTGAGGGGAAGGAGGGAGGTTGCTTGTTGGATTGTTTTCCCTTGTTTTATCTGGGAACATTCTCTTTGCGTTGCAGGGTATTTTTATTTTTAGCCAGAAAGCTGTTTGTTTCGCCACTGTGTGGTGGAGAAAACCAGGTGTAGATGGTTGTGCTAACTTGGTGTAGTGCTATGCATGTGAACAACAAAGGCAGCAAACCGGTTCTCCCAGAATGGCTGTGTGTAACTCAGCAGCTGATTGCTGTGAAGGATTCCCCTGTGCTCAGTGTGTGCAGTGCCAGCACAAGAGCCTCAGGGTGGGCGCTGCGCCTGTTTGGGTGACAGGCAGGAAGTTTGCATCCCTGTGTTGTCAGAGAGCTTTACTGAGTCTTTTTTCTCTAGCTGTTATTTTTTTGTAAAGCATGAAAGCAGTCCTGTGGAAAGTGTGATAAATACCTTAAAGAAAAAGAAGCTTTAATTCAATAGGAAGCAGAAAGATCTAAGAGCAAGCAAAGTTGACTGCTAGGCACGTGCAGAAATAAGCTACTGCCTGCTGCAGTTATTGCTGTTGGATCTGAAGTGCCTACTGAGGTTAGTGTGCTTTCCATGTTCTTTTTTGCTGGTTTTATTTTGTCCTTAAGTAGACACTTGATTCCTTTCAGTTTGAGAAAACAGCATGAAGTACCTCCGTATTCTTATCCCACTGGAGATTGGTGTCTAAGCCAGCATTTCTTTGTGGATGGGAAAAGGGAAGTACTTTGTCACGCTGGCTTCTGAAAATGTGGCTTGGCAATTACTGTGCAGTTCTTAGTAGTCTTGCACTGTCTGTGCCGTAGTCCTGCAGAGAGGTGGCTTATACAGTGCCATTAAGATGAAGGCAAATGCCTTGATTTTCATTCTTCTGCTTGTCTCTGCATATGTAACAGCATTCAAGAAAATGGCTGTCACGTCATCTGAACAGCTCAGAGCACCTGGGCAGCTCTTCCCGTTTCCATGTTACTTCAGACTGTCCTGAGGTCACGTTCCTACTTTCCTCTTTTCTGCTCACTCACCCTAAAAAACCTCAGCAAACAGCTCTACCTCCTGTAGTCAATTATTCCTTAGGGAGAAGCCCTTCTGTGCTTTCTCTTGCTGGTCTCTTTACTCTGTCTGCCACAGAACTGATGTTTTAAGATGTGCTTTAGTATAGTTCTGTAATCTTCTATGGGTAGAATTTGTTTTGGAAATGTGGTTACTTTACGTTGGAAATAATTTTTGTATGTGACATTAATTTGCTCGGACTAGAAATCACAGCTATTTTTACTGAGATGCAATTATTTTCTTCTGATCTCTGTTCCATTTCATCTCAGCACACGCAGCATAGTTTACTCAGCCAGGCTGGTTGTACTTGTGAGTGGACGGATGCTTAAAGGAGGTGGAAGCTCTGCAGCTCTGACAGATGGCCCAGGAAACCTTATTGTCATCAAAGCTGTGGTAATGTACATCAACAGAAGGGGAATAGACAAAGAAAATGTGCTGTTACAAAGAGCCAGCTTTGGTTTATGCCGTATCTGTGAGTATCCTGTACAGTGCTTTTGTAGCTGTGTTACCGAGACCAGAAGTCTTTTTTTCTACCTAAACTCATAAAGGAACTTGAATTTGATTACACGCTGGAGGAGGAATTTGTGGTTTTTTTCTAACAGCAGTATTAAAAATACACAGAATTTGTATAATAGCAATCATCACTGAGATAGTGGGATAAATAGTTGCGGGTTGATCCTGTGTTGCTTCTACATGTACAGGATGTTTTTCAAATGAAGATTGGCATCTGATAGATTCCAGCAATGTCTGTTCTTTCTGTTCCTTTCTTTATTCAGACACTTAATTGCTCTCAATCTGTCAGGCTTCCCCTGCCTCATTTCTGATCTTCGCCTCAGCGAGCAGCTTTCTACCTCAGAGTCTTTTGTAAGTATGCCTTGAATGCATTTGGTTGCTCTTGTAAATTGAGTTGCACTGCTGCTTGTGCATGCACACAAATTACGACCAGATACCGAGAATTCAGAACTGCTCGCCTCCAGTGCTGGAGGTTCTATGCCTGACAAAGTCTCAAACATCCTGCTTTTCTTCTTACCATACGACACAGTGGTACAATGAATTTGTAAGGTTGGTACCTCCCAGTCTATTTGGTTTATCCTTGTGGTTTATTCCAAGGCTGCGTGCTCTGACATGCTGCTATGGTTTGAGTGTCGGAAGTGGTTGTGACCTTTCTGCTGGCATCAGTTCCTTCCCAGGGAGTAAGTGCAGCTGACTGCAGTGTTGGTTTTGTTGTTCCATCTCCACAACAGATATTCTGAGAGTCTGTTTTTTTCTGTTCCTATTATTAGTATTACTGCATTATTAGGATGGTGGCTCATTGAGGTACGTAGATTGCTCTGAAAGGAATGCCTCCTATTTATTTCCACAGAAATGACAAGAGATACGTAAAGTGAATTCTCAGCTCTCTCAACAAAACTCTGTTTTTCAACATGGTCACCACCATTAACTATCCTTTTTTTTTTTTTTTTTTTTTTTCCTTTCCCTCCAGTGTTGAGCCTGCGTGCTGTGCTTGTTTAAAAATAAATAATAATTAAAATAAATCTGTTTGGCTGTCTGGGTGGCTCGCCTTGCATTGCTGTTGCCACTGCTGAAGCCTCACTGTGCTCACATCCACGTATTGGGCTTCATAAATATTCTGCAGGCATTGATGGATGTCAGTGAGTGCGATTTTTTTCAGTGTGGAGGAGTTCAGGGACACCCTGTGCTTCATGAGCACTTCCATGTCAGGTGCTGTGCTGTCATTCTGGCCCTCTGCTGCCGTCTGCCGTATGGCTGCAAAATGTAACTGAATGCTTGCAGGAAGGTTCAACCTCTGCTGTCATCCCACCAGCGTCCACCTGTGATGTTGTGGGCCAGCTTTATAAAACAGGAGGCATTACTTTTGGATCAGCCTGTGTGCAATTATGAAAAATTAAGGTTTATAACGGCTGGCTGAGTAAATTGGTGGCTGCTAATGAGATCCACAACTCTAAAATAACAGTAGTTAGACACTGATAGTGTTTTTAGATTATGTGGCTGTGTTGAGTTATTTTTTATTTAATGTTGTGTTTCATTGTAGTATTTCCTGAAAACTCCTCAGGTGTGGCACTCTGAATCTGCAAGCTCTGGTATTCTTGAGCAACTCCATCCTGTAGAGGTAAGTGGATTAGTTCTCATACTCAATTGTAAAACTGCTGTTAAGAATCGGTATTGCAAGAAAGAAGTCTTCTTTTGTTTTATAATATGGAATTATACTGAATTATATTCAGAATGAATATATATATATATATATAAATATATTATATATATTTATATTGTATTTTATTTATTTATTATTATTTATATTTATATTTATATTTTATATATATATGAATTATATTCAGAAGTAGAATCCTGTATGTTGAAGTAATGTAAGATAAGTTGTACTCATCTCTTCTGAGAGGAACTTTGGGGTCTTTGGTGTGCGTTCATAAAGTGCTGATTAGTCTGGTGATGCAGATTGTTTTGGAGGTCTCAAACACTGCAGCCTTTTAGCGTGACAAAGCAGCTCCATCTTCGGGCCCACCTTTACTGCCTTTTCATCCTGTGCACTGAATTGCAATGGCATGTCAGTATCAGATCCCTCAGCACTGTGCTGAGCCTCACCTTACTCATACTCACCCATTGGATGTTACTCAGCTTTAGCAATCGTGTTTCTGCTACAGAAGGGCTTGCCGGATATCTGTAGTATTGATCTGGCCCGAAGGTGGCAACCTTCCAACCTGCTGGTCTCTGCCCATGTTCTCTGTCACAACATCGGATGTGTGTGCTCGCTGAATGCACTGATAAGAAATGTTTTTGAGAAGAGAACCTTGTGCTTCCCAGAGCAGTAAGACTGTGAGGATTTGGGAGGCTCTTCACAAACCTGGTTAGAGTGTGCTTTCCCAGACGGCGTGCTGTTAAAGCAGCCCTTCTCAAAAGCAGAGCGTTGTGCCTGGTGTGACTTAAATCCCACCCACAAAGGAGCATTCCCTGCAGTCTCTGATCTCAGGTGCGTGTTTCCCCCACTGCTGGAACTGCTGGACTTTCATGCCTTCACTGTATGTGTTTGGCTCTCTTTATTAGCTCTGTTTGTTCTACTAGCTGTATGCAAACGTATCGAGAGGTAATGAAAGATCTTTGAAAATAGCTTGGAGATATTAACCGGAGACAAGAAGGTGAATTTTACTGCCTTAAATTAGGCTTCAGAGGATGTCCTTGAACTCAGAAGCTTGGGCTTTGTTGTAGCCTGATATTTACTGCTTGAACTTTCTTTAACTCTAGGACTGGAGGGGGAGCTTTTCTTCACACCTTGCTGTGTATGAAACTTGAACTACACTCGAGAAGGGCAGAAATGTAGCTGACCAGAGCCTCCAACAGCTCAGCCTTTTCCTTCAAACTATGAAGAAGGCTTTAATATTCGTAAGTCAGAAATCTCGTATCAAAACTTAATTCTCGTATAGACACAGCCTTGCTCTGGGGGACCGTGGCAGGTGTGGTCTTTGAGTCATCATAGGTTAGGACACGTGAAGTAATCTGAACGTGTTTCAATTTCTGTGTATTTTTCCCCGTTTCTCTGATCATTTCTCTGTATTGCTGCATCTGGCAAGGATTGCTGTCCTGGCCCAGAGCTCTGTTCCCTCATGGGCTGCACTTGTTTTGCTATCCCACCATTTGGGTTGCACAGGCCATCCACGTCCAGTGTTCCCATCCTCCTGGGCCTCCACACACATGGCAGTTAGCAAGAAAGAGCAAAGTTGTTCAACCTTGTCCTAAAGTTATCAATCTGTTCATCTAACCTGTGCCTTGGTCACAGTGGCAACGTGCCGTTAGCAATGCCATCACTGCACTCAGGTCACAGGCTCTGACAGCAGGCACTGGGGATAATTTCAGGTGAGGCCGTTCTTCATATCCAAGCACACAGATGCTATCTTTTTCCAAATGGACTGTGGTGGTAGGCGGGTAAATCCAGTCGTGCAGGATCTGCAAAATAAAATTATGTACTATGTACATAGTTCTCCAGAGCGGTGGTGATCTGAGGTGGGGCTCCATTTCTCATAACTGTTTTTAAAACTGGCAATATCAGTAATTGTTCTGTTGTGGGTTGAATAATTAAATCTTGTTCACCGTTGCTGAACAGAATTCGATTTATCCTTGATAATCTGCATACATTACTCCTCTCGTGACATGAGTTTTCTTCCGCCAAAACCCAAGGGAACCTTTTTCTTTCCCTGTTTTTGCCAGAAGCTCCAATTGGCACATGCCCCATTTACAGACATGTTTAACTCTGTTTCTGCTTTTTGCATGGGCCGGAAGTCTGAGGCCCTTTGAAGAGCCTTTGTTGCTAATTCAAAGGCAACCTGGGTTTCGTTTCCCCTCTCCAACTCTTCCTTGTCACTTTGTATATAAACGGGGTTAAAATTTGTCCTCAATATGGAACATGCTGTCTCCAAAAACCAAACAACCCAATACACTGCTGTGCCTCATTCTTATTACAGGGTACTGCAAAGTCTGAAATGTTGTGTCGAGTTTTGGGTAGTATTCCCCAATGCCCAAAATGCCTCTGAATTCCTAAAAATGTCACTATTTGAGACTGCCCTTGAATTTTAGTAGGATGAATGCTGGCAGGAAGGTTCTACCTCTGCTGTCATCCCACCAGCGTCCACCTGTGATGTTGTGGGCCAGCTTTATAAAACAGGAGGCATTACTTTTGGATCAGCCTGTGTGCAAAATTAAGGTTTATAATGGCTGGCTGGGTAAATTGGTGGCTGCTAATGAGATCCACAACTCTAAAATAACAGTAGTTAGACACTGATAGCTTTCAAGGCCAATTTAAATAATGTGGCTGTGTTGGGTTACTTATTTATTTGATGTTATCTTTCACTGTTGTGTTTCCTGAAAACTCTCCAGGTGTGTCATTCCAGGCTTGATTTTGAGCGGATTTGTTTTCATGCTCCATTGTAAAATTGCTGTTAAGAATTGGTATTGCAAGAAATGATTCTTGAGGTCCCTTCCAACCTGGGCCATTCTGTGATTCTGTGACTAGGAAAGGCGTTACAACAGAGGTGTGATGATGGAAGGACTGGCACCATAGAGAGGTACTATAAAGGAAGGGAAGAAGATTGCTCACCCATATCAGAAGATTCCAGGTTCACAGGAAGAAGCATCACCAAGGAGGGATCTCCAGAAAGAGATCCTTCCCCAGCTGCAGTCAGCCCTTACATGAGGTCTGAGAGAGGTGCAGCCAGGCTCCAACCCTTCCTGTCACACAGCTGGATTGCCTTCACCTGTTGCTTCCAGGGCTGAGCAGCTCCTTTCCACACGTGCTGAACCAGTGGTTCAGCCTGGGACTCAACAGATTCCATGCATATGTGAAAGATTTCAGTTGTGTTTTTTTTTTTTCTTGGAAGATTGAAAAAGCAAAAAAGTTCTCTGCCCTTGCTCCTGCCCTTTGTTCCCACCTCCACCTGCTCTCAGCGTGCAGCCAGGAGAGGAGGGGCACTCAGGAGCACAATGGGAGCCCTTCGTATCTCCTCAGCTCCTGACTTCCAGCTCTGCAGAGACATTTCTTATCTCAGTGACAGCTGTGGCCCCCACAGCTCCCCTAACCTGGTCCTTGCGGGGCCCACCGCCCCTCTCCCCCCCCACGCACACAGATGGGCCCGCTGGGCACAGGCATTGCCGTCCCAGCAGTGGATTCATCGCCTGGCCCGCAATAAGTCTGTCAGCACCGCGTGTTTATTTGGAGAGTGCCAGCCCGAGTGCTCGGTGGGTTCCGCAGCAGGAAGAAATGTTTCCCAAGGAGGGCCCTGGCACGTGCTGTCCCGAGGAGCGGCGCACACTGATATGTGGAATCAGACTCTATGACCACAGAGTATTACAAAAGCAGGTACATTTAATCAGGGCTGCAATGCTGGGTGCAGAGGGGAGAGCTGCTCCTAAGTCGCACAGCAGCAGGAGAAAGCGTGCTCCAGGTAGAGGCCGAAGTAATGCGTGATCAGGAGTTCCCAGAAATTCAGATCACATTCATTCCATTCTGAGCCCATCAGCACGCGGCCCCTGCTCGCGCGTGCGCAGTGAGTGGTGAGGGTCTTCCTGGCGGTCGTGGGCTGAAGAATCCTCATCTTCCTCACGAAGGCTCGCAGTCTTTCTCCCTGTTAACTTCTGACCCTGCGGGAGGGGCAGCCCCCCCAGCCCCGTTTCAGCTCGCCCTGCGGCCATCGAATCGCCTCACTGCCCGGCGTCCTCAGGCCGTTCTCAAACCCTTCCCTTTACGGCCTTCATCCCCTCATTATCCCAGACCCAATGTCTGCCATCCCTTATTTTTTTTAACGTTTTTGATTCTACAAACTTTCTCTAACTCCCCCCTCTCCCCAATCCTTAATCCCCGTGAAGCCTTTTCCTCACGTTTTCACTATGGGGCCTTTCTCATACTTCAGCACCGGCCCGCACAGCCGTACCGGACAACCGCGCGGCCCCGCACGGCCTCCTGCGCACCCCGCCTCCCGCCTCTCCTATTGGCAAGCCCTGCCCGTTCGGTCATCTCGTTGGCTGCCGCTGCCGCCTGTTATGTGCACGCCGCGCCCCTTCTGGGAGAGCCTCGTCCGCCCCATCGTCTCTGCGGAGGCAATTGGCTGCCTTGGCCGTCACTTAAAGCTTGGGTGGAGGGGCGATTGGACGAACGGGGTCAGGTGGGGTGCCCGCCCTCCGCGAGGGCGAGTCTGGGTAACGTGCACGCAGAGGCGTGACGTCACCCGGCGCGACGCACAGCGGCCGGGGTGAGCGTCACGTGACCCGGGGAGCCGGCGGTACGGGGCCGAGGAAGCGCGGGTCCTTGTGGGGCTGGGCGGTGGGTCTTGTGCTGAAGATTGCAGAGCTGCTGCGCAGTAATGACATCACTGATGGAAGAGCTGAGTACTGGGTTGAGAAAGCTGCCAGGCTCTTCCCTGGGAATCCTGCTGCTTACAGATTGAAGGTAAATTCCAGCTTCTGATCTCTGTTCTGTGCCTAGAAGAAACTTTAGTTGCATCAAGTGATGGGAAAACAGTAGTAGTAATAGTATCCAAGAGGTCAAGATTAGATAGGTGATATTGCCTCTGTGTATAATCAATAGATATCAAGATGTTATAATCACAATACAATCAAGAGAGTTAGGCAAAATAGACAACGATCACAAAAAGAGAATAGGTGGAAGAGCTTACCCTTTGGCTGAGCTTACCACAAAACACCAAGAGAGGTGATCTCCAGAAGAGATCCTTCCCCTCTGGTAGCCAGCTCTTAAATAGGTCTAGGAGGGGTGGAGCCAGGCAGCACAGGTGAATTGCCTTCACCTGTGCTCCTCTGGCTGACTCATGGCTCGCCTCAGGTGATTAATCAGAGGTTCAGGCCGTGATTCAGCAGTTCCCATACACTCTGTTACGTGACTACTCTGCTTTCTAGGTTTTTTTATTTGAGTTAAAAACTATCAAGTGTAGGAGATGCTCTTATTCCCTAATGCTGTGAAAGTGCTTTCAGTCATATGATCTCGCTTTTGTACAGGCGTTAGTTTTCTGGAGCACAACAGCAATGAAATTGAAGTCTTGAGAGGCTTGTGCTTCGGGGTTTTTTTGTGTGGCTTTTTTTTTTTTTTTTTTTCAGTCAAGTTGCTCTGTATTGAAGTGTGTCAAATCATCTGGTTCAAATTTGACGACTTAGCATTTAACTTAGCATCTACAAGATGCAAACTCTAAAGTTATGGTTTTTTTTTTTTTTCTTTTCTCACTTCTAAAATGCTTTCCAAACTCTCTGTAGCACCTTCGAGCTTTGCAGAGCAGTTTGAGTAATGTAGTCAGTAGTGGCGGTGAGAAAGCAGTCAGGTAATGTAGTTGCTGAAGAGGCTTTCATGGAGAATGCAATTTTAACATGTTGGCTTTGTATTTGATAGGAGCAGTTTACTGGAGTGTCAAGGTGAAGATGGCTGGAATCAGCTCTGTGATATGATTCAGACCGAGCTCTGTGCGAGACCAGACGATCCCTACCTTAGCATCAGACTGGTTGCTCTCTACCATTCAACAGATTAAGAGATACTGTGCTTCACTGTCAGGAGGCGGAGAAGAAAATACCTGTAGGCTCCAGCTTGGAATGGTGTTAGTGTGTCATAAAGACGTTCGAGGTATTTAATCATGTTTTGGTCCTGTCGTAATCTGCCATGTCCTTGAAACTAGTGTTATTCTCTTAGTATCGTTACAATGATACAGCTAATTCTCAAGTGGCTTAACTCCTTCAAATGCAGCGTCTGCTGAAACCCATGATTTGCTTAGGATTTTCTTAAGCCTTCCAGAGTTGAAAAATATGTTAATGTCTCACCTGGGGAACTGGATTATGTAGCAAGGTGTTCTGGAGAACCTCTTGCCTTCATGTAAGGATGGTGGTTTCTCATTCTCTAATGAACTTTGTTGTTTAGGAATACCTTGAATCAGTACGAGACTTGGAGTCTGATAAAAATAATTGGAGAGCTGTCAAGAAGGATCATCTGCTGGCCTATTCTAGCTTGGTTAAAAATACACTTGCTTCTAGAGATGTTCGAGAAAGCAGAGGGGCCCTTGAAAGGTATTGTTTTAACTGTTCTGTTTAAAAAAAAAAAAAAAAAGAAATTGAATATTTTTTCTGGGTCACAGAACTTCTAGCAGGCATCATTTTCAGTGATTAGCCATTTTGTGGATGGGAGAGGAGTTCCTCTGTACTAATTGCAAAGAAAAAATGTTGCTAGGCGTGATCCCCAAGCTATGTGTCTGAGCTACAGGCCTCAGAGAAGACTCGGTGATAGGGGCCTAGTATAAGTGGGAGGCCAGGACTTGGTTGAAAAGGAATCTTTCCTATGTTCCAGTTTTGATCGTGTGCTTCCCTCTGTGAGACTGTGTGCGAATGGACCTGATGAGCTGTCTCGTACCTTCCTTGAAATGAAAGGACACTTCTACATGCATGCTGGAACTTTCCTGCTGAAAAAGGCACAGAACAGCGAGGCATGATGGAGAGATGCGTGTGAACTTGCAGCCTTGTGTTACCTGAAAAGTTTCCATGTAAGTCCCTGTTCAATTTGTGCATTCAGTGATTGCAATTGAATGCTCTCACTGTACACACACTGAACACCCATATTCCAAAAAGTAGCTGCTGTTTAAGGCTGTCTCCTCGCCAAATCTTACTCTTCCATACTTGTTTAAAAGATTTCAAACGGTGTGAAGAAAATCCCATCCGTTTCACTTGTCAGAAGTAAATGACTCTTAAGGGCTAACGAGTATATTTTCTGTAGGCCGTTCCCTTCTCTGTAATGCAGCTAAATTAACTAATATTAAGGTTATTGATACGGAAGGGAGGGGAATGACCTGAGTAGCTCTCACATACTTATTGCACAGATAGCAGAGCTTGATCAAGCTTAATTCTTTGCTTTATGGAATACAATCAGTTTTCCTTTTGCACAAGTGCTTGCGTTCAAAACATCGCTTTCTCTTGTGCACTCTTACAGCTGTTTGCAATTGTTCAGTTACTCACCTCGTGTCCTTTCCTGAAAAGAAACAAGCTTGTTTCCTAACTTTTAAGACTAAATGAAGTGATTTGCTTTTTATTGTCAAGAAGCTGTAGCAATTCTTTCTTCCCCAGATTCCTAAACCAAAGTCAAAACTAATGAGAGGAGATCATGCTGGGCAAGATAAGCTGGAAACGTTGGCCTGCAACCGAAAAAGCCAGTCTGGTAATAAAAAATAATAATTACAAATGTTCCATAGTTCCATTTTAATCTTATGAGCTGCTAATGTCAGAGTTAAAGGCTTGTTAAAGAGCACGTTTGGTGTCTGGGAACACACCATAAAATGTTCTGCATTTTGGCTGCGTATAAAATGCAGAACACTGGTTTGATCCTGACACGTACTGGGCTTTTCTTTTTGTCTCCAGGACGTTAAAATAGAATTTAACTTTCAGTGTCTCCTAGTCTGCTGGTTTCTGCCTACTAATACACTATTTGTAAGCTTTGCTAGTCCCAAGTGTAAAAGAAAATATTGCTCTTTCCTGTCACTTTTGTTCCCTTCTTTGTTCTAACAGGTTTTCTGCTTTTTTTTTTTTTTTTTTTTTTTTGGTAAAGCTGAGGTAGTCATTTTCAGTCTTCACTATCCTATGGGCTGGAGATGAAAACAAAGAAAACACTGGGCATCGGGCTGAATTGTTCCTGAATAGATGAGACTGACAGCTACTTAGTTAGAAGACAATTGCAGCGCCCTTATAATGAAAATACACAGTAACTGTGGAGAACTGGATTTAAAAATGCCTTGGGACTGCTGTCAGGTCATATGCTAAAAGAGTGACTTAATTATAGGGAGAATGTAAGTTAGAAATTTGTAAATATCATAAAGGGAAATCTTGATTCCCAGCCTGAAGCAGCAGGAGCAACCCACTGCATCAAATATTGTTGTCCTTGTTTAAGTTGAGTGTTCTTATGTGGCATTATGTTTTTCTAGGTCATATGTTGCTGAACTTAAGCCACGGCAAGGAGGACTTCTTGAAATAAATTGTGGAATCTTTTGCAAACAAAAGTGGTTTATTTACATTGTTTGAAAGCCTCTTTGGGAGTGGAGCTTCTAAAGAGAGATCTTTTCTCGGCACAGATGATGTGGGAGATGTCAGTCCCCAGGCACCAGAGCAAGGAGAACTGAGTAAATACGATATTGGTAAGAGATGCTACTTAAACTCTGCATACACGTGACTCTGTATTGGAGGTTCTTCTCCAAGTGCTTCATTTGCAACAAAAGACAAGTGTCTGTCATAGCTCTTCATCATTCCCCAAATGAGAGGGTGCTTTGCAAGAAGTTTCACTTGCAGCTGCAGCTGCGAGGCAGTGTCATTATGCCAGGTTCTGAAGAATTTCTCACATACTTTCTGCTTCCACACTGTTGTCTTCTGGTCTGTTCTGATTCATTTCCAGTTGAAGCTGCCTATTGAGCTTTTTGTGCTTGTATGCTGGTAAGTGCTGATAGGAAGCCTGTACTTATTTATGTGTAATCTATGAACATAGGTTAGAGGCATAAAAATGAAATAATTCCAGGATGAGTTGTGAACTAATGAGATCTTCCAATTTTTTTAAGCTTAACTTGATGATGAAGTCTGGCTTTGAATTTGAGCATAACAAGAGTAGAATGCTAGTAGCCTCCTCCTTAGCTGTTAGTGGTCAGAAACATGTAGACTATTTAGTCTAAAACTGCCGACCAGGGTGCAAAGCAATAAAGCTTATGGCCCTTTCTCTGCATATGTGTTTTTTATATCTATATGTCTGTTTTATATATTAAATAGAAGTTTATGCTACTACGGCCTCTCTGAAGAAGTTTGTTCAGCATGTTTTTAAATACATAACGCGTAATTTAAGAAATGGTTTGTGCTTCTTGTTTGTAGGCCAAAGATTTTCCTTGTTAGAGAGGTGTGATGTTATCTCTATTTTTTGCTTTGTCAAAACTATTGATGAGTGTTAATGTGCTTTGGTTGTGCACTACTATGAAGTAGCTATTGCTTCTGCAGAAGTTATTAGTATAGTGTGAACAGGTGCAGAAATCACTTGAAGAAAGCGACATCTTACTTGAAAATTCTTAGTTCCAGCTTGTTAGACAGAGGCGAGCAGGTGGGAGGAGGTTGGTGGGGAAGTGCTTTGATGGGAGAAATATTCGGAGCTCGCTCCTCTTGCAGTGAAACCCAGCTCTGATCAGATGCAGGTCTTCCTAACTTGGTCGCAGACTCTAGCTTCTTACAACCCTTGTTATTGCACAGGTGCTGTTTGGATGCACAGCTGTAGTCTCCAGCACCTTGCATGGCTTGGCTTGCAGTGGAATTCTGTGTCAGTGTTATTCCCACTGCGCAGATCGTTAAAACAACTTTTTCACTTGCCCCACGAGACGTCGAGAATGAAACAGATGCTCCTGAATCCATTTGCCTGTTGGACCTTGAAGTAAGCAAGCTTCCCAAGTTCTTAAAAGCATGTAAATGCCAGTTTTTTGGTACCTAATACCTTCACAGAGTCACAGAATCACAAGTTTGGAAGCGACCTGCAAAATCGTCTAGTCCAAAAACCTTCTGTTTGTTTATTTTTACCAAAACAGGTTTTTTTACTTGGGATGGTGTTCACTTGCAACTTAGAACTGCGAGAGAAGTTTAATACTCAGCGTGGCACACATCAACCTCCTTT